CCACACATCTTAAAGTTGCCAACTTTGAAGAACACTGCTCTAGAACCATTTGACTATAAAAGCTCTGCAACAGCTATGCTGGTCTGGAATTCTGAGGCTGTAGTTATAGGGCGCCTGGAGAGGAAAGGAATGGGCAATCTAACCAGCATTTGGAAGAGAGGTTTCGTGATGAAACAAGAAGCTGCGATACCACTGGCTCTGCCTGCGCACATGCCCTTCGATATCCCTGCCACACCCGATATTCAAAAGATTCTTTCCTTTTTACAAAAGAGAGAAGAGAAGCAGGCATGCTGCCAATTAAACCACAACTCTATCACCTTTATTACAATAAAATGGCAGGTGGCTGCAGCACAGTATTTTATCTGGAAGTGTGCCCACCTACACAGGAAAAAGATATAAGTAAGCTGGAAAGGGGACTGATGATAGAAAGCATTTTGTGGGGGGGGGGAGTTTGAACAGGGAGTATGAATGGGAGCAAAGAAGATCGTGGGAGAATTAAAGAGGTAATGGAGAATAAAAGGTGCATTGGCTATGTTGCACACATATGGATAGTGGCATATTGGTTTGCGTAGATGTACATCCTGCCTGGGTTTGGGGCGCATCCGCATTCACCTGTGGATAACTCTCCTCCTCGGCCTGCAGGAAGAGCTGCAAGAAGAGAATACAGCTGAGCCTGTCTTCGAAGGGCTAAGAGCAATTTCTGCTCAAAGAAAGTAACTTCAGTGGCTGCCACACCCACGCTTGGGAGCAGAACCCTTGTAGATCACCCCGGGGTGCAGAGAAAATCGGTGGCCCCAAGACGACACTTGGAGAATGAAAAAGAGACGCAGCACGCTCAGGACTGACCAAAAAAAAACCAGTAGAAGAAAAGGCGGCGGCAGCAGCTGCTGCTTCACCATTTCTCACTAAAAAGCAAGATCCCAGCTGTTTGTTGCCAGGCAGACACCCCGCCCTTTCCAGAGGCCAATGCTTCGTACTGCATCTTCCCCCACAAAAGAAGATAGTGGGGAGCGATGCACAAACTTGGTGGGCGGCAACACGAGGTGGGGAGAAGGCAGAAAACCTGCTTCCAGGAAGAGGAAGATGGGCAAATGTATATCCAGGGATGTTCCCTACAAGAATCCTTGTCCTAGCTGAACGCTTCATTTTACGTGCAAGTGACCCTTTCTGTACTGAACAATTTCATCCCGATATGCAAGGCCCTAGGGGATTAGGTTCCAGAAACCGAAGGACGAGCCCACGGGGAAAAGGAGGAGTGCAGTGATAACTCACTCCCAGTACAAGATCTGGGACTGGATGGAGAATTTGACTTCCTGAATATCAAGATCCTTTTAAAATAAAACTTGTTTCTAGATCTCATTAGCACGAAAAGAGCTTGAAAGAGAAAGAGTCTATTAACAGCTCAGAAATTAAAGCAGCACTAAAAATAAAGCTTATAGTGGGCCAGAGAGCAAGCTTTTCACATGCTGCATAATTCTAAATCTCCTCCCTGCTGCTTTTAGAAATTGCTTCACTACCACTACAATTTGTCCACACAAGCAAAACATTCCCAGTTTTCTTGCTTGCTTCTTTGTTAGCCAGAGACTACAAAATTTCCCCGTTTTGCAGAAATAGCGGAGGGAGCACCTTTAGGCAAGGCCTTTCCACCTCACCTGTCAAATACCCTGCTGATGGGAAGAGTGGGTACAAACCCATTTGCTTCCTAAAACCTTGCTGGCAGCTAGAGCAAGCCCCCTCTTCCCTCCTTTGTGTTAAAGGGGGAGACAAATGGCCTCGCCAACCCTTGCTTGAAAGGAAGTCTGTTTCCTGCATGCAGGATCTGAATGCCTCTTGCATGGGGAGCAAGCACAATGCAGCTGTTTTGCACAAGAAAGGAAGAGGGGGTGAACTGCTTAGCCTCCCCAGATTACAGCATTTTAGAGCCATTTTGCTGAAAGGAGGTGGAGCTCTTGAATGCATTTCCACCCTCCAGGCTTCTTGCTGGGTCTGAGGTTCATCTGAGCTGGCCTCAAGCTTTTCTCTGTGCAAAGGTCTGAATCAAGAAAGTATCACACTAGCACATAATGACCATACAGCCTTTCCCAAAAGCTGCCAAGTGCTGACCCCCTTCACCTCAAATCAAGACATCCCAGTTTGATTTGGCAAGTATGATATGAACAAGCTACAGAAAATGGTCTTAACAAGGCAAGGAGGAGGGGGTAGGAAAGGGAACCTTTTAGCTGGACTTGGGATAGGCAATCTAAGAACTCATAGCCACCTGTCTCTAGTTAGGAACTCAGTTTTTGCTATCCCTCAGATCACAATATCTGAAACTTGGTAGTATGTTTTCCTGCCATTTTGAAGTGGAATACTGTGCCTGAAAACCATAATAAAAGCCAAGGATCTTTTAGCTTTGGGGGATGATGGGCAGATCTGGAATTTTGAGAACATTGTACAAGTTGGGCAATTTGCCAAAACAGTACTGCTAAAGGTTTACCCATTCACAAAATAGGCAACCTAGGCACAAAAGGCTGTTTGGGGCCTAAGAACCTACTCTACAGGAAAAGGCCAGCACTAAAAAAAGCCCCTCTTGAGCTTTTTTGGAAGTGACTCCTGTTCATCTGAGGTAGCATGCTGGACAAATTCATTTTCAGCAAAAGAAGTGGAGCAAACTTGAATCAGCATTTGAGTCTGGACCAAGGTACATTCTGGCCATACCACTACTTCCTTGTGTCTTATTTGTTTCTCCTCACAATTTACTACTTGTAGGTTCAACGGGATGTATCCAGGCCAGAGCCTCATGCCAAGGTTTACTCTACCGTTCCAGACCATAGATCTCTTCTGACAGCCTGATACCTTCTGACTCCCGAGAAGACAAGGAAAGTGCCACCACACTGCAGATACTCAAGCTGGCAGGAGACAAAGCTGAAGGGAGGGTCCCTGCCGGAGCCTCCACTTTCTCAGCCTCAGGTGTGTTGCTGTCCAAGTCAACTGCATAGATGTCAGAATGAGTGCTGTAGTACATGCAGCTCCCTCCGCTGCATGCTGCACACAGAACTGGCCCCTGAAGATAATACTCCCGGAGCTCTGGGACCTTGACTTCTTCTTCTTGAGAGGCTTTGATGGCCACCATTTTACCATAGTGTCCCAAAGCCACAACACAGTCACAACCCAAGCCTCCATAGGCCGGATGTTCCTCTGCACCTAGGGATTTCCGTTCAGTCCTCAGGGCCCCGATGAAGACAACTGGCTCCTCCAGATGGTGAAGGATCTTGACAGGTGAGTCTTCCCAGCCATGGCCCCCGGGGGAATTCAGGGCCTTCAAAGGCACAGAACACAACTGCCCATCTGGGAAGCCACAGAGGATCATGGGAGAATCCAGCATGGCAGCATCTACCCCAAAAAGGAGGCTGAAGAGAGGCTCCTCCAGCACAAACCCCCCAGAATGGCGAAGTCCCTCCCAGTGCTCACTGGCGCCAGGAGCAGATGCACAGCACAGGACGGGGAGGAAGTGGGCTAAAGACATGTCGCCATCATTGCTTGTGCTGGTGGTGATGTCCACATGACTGACTGGCTGATGTGGCAATTTCTCCTGGTCCTCAGGGCCCGGGAGTTTGTGGAGATTCATGCACCACTTCTCCTGGACTTGGGAAAGGGTGACTAAGACATCATTGAGTAGCGTGAAGGTGCAAAGTGTGGCATCAGGGAAAGTGCAGGCATCACACCCCATGGGGAAGATGTTGGAGAAGCAGTCATTTTCTTCACCATCCATCTGCTTCGCTAACCTTCAAAGCAAACAAGGAAAACCTCTCAGAGTAGCCATAGGGGGACAGCTCAGAAATAGCACTGACAAATCAGAAGGTTTAGCATCCGCTTCACTGAGACGGATTCAGGAACGGGGAGCTGGATTAAGCCAGGCAGAACTAGGGCTCTGGAGGGAGGTTCCAGCCACTTAATTATTTTGTTGCCCAAGAATTCTTTTTAAGCTGCTTGGAACCTGGAAAAGAATGGCAGAAACACACAAACAGCCAAGGGACAACCTAGATGTGATGTCAGAGGACTCCCTGCAGTTTTCTAATGTGGTCAAACAGGCTATGTAAATGGGAGAGGCTCAGTCTGGGTCAATGGGGCTGGCAGAGAGGCTTTAATGCTCCCCTTGCCCTGTTCCCCACATTAAAAGGAGCAAGGTGTGAAGCTGCCATTTGCACCATGTTGCCTGATGGTATTAACAGCTTTGCTAAATAAGGACAGGCAACCTCAGGAAAGTGCTGAGCATCAGGGTTTAGTGACCGAGGTCTGGACAACAGACTTCCTAACGTTTCGCCTGACGTCTTGTCTGCTATCTTGCCTCTGAAGATGCCAACCATGGTTGCCAGCAAAATGTCAGGAAACATGTTGTCTAGACCAGGGTTTCTTAAACTTTTTGCTCTCAGAACCCCTTCCCACTTTTAAAAATTAGGGAGGACCCCAAAAGAGCTTTTATTTGTATAGGTTATATTTATTGATATTTACCATGGTAAAAATTAAAATTGACACATTTATAGAATATGTATGTATTGAATCATGTAAAAAGAACAATATTAAACCCATATTAGATATTAACATAAATATACTTTTCATGAAAAAACTATATATTTTTTAACAAATAACAAAAATGAGACGAGTGACATTGCTTTCATTTTTTGCAAATATCTTTAATATCTGGCAAATAATTTTGATTTCATGGACCCCTTAGAGGGTCTTGAGGGACCCCCAGGGGTCCCTGGACCACACTTTAAGAAATGTTGGTCTAGACAATGGTCACTAAACCCTGAAGCTCACCACTGTCCAACAGATACTGGCTGTGAAAGCCTACAGTATCCTTCCCCCCATCTCTGGGGGAGATGGGCAGCATATTTATTTCATTCATACATACATACATACATACATACATACATACATACAGTAAACCTCAGGAAAATTAGCATGGGGGGGGAGGGAAAGATAAACCTTGATTTCCACAATGCCAAGATAACAGTCAAAGCTCAGGATTGCATGTTTTGATAGCCTCCCCATGTCTCTATATTCTAGAAGGCTGAGCATATAACTTTGTTGCTGATCATCTGGGTGAGATGAATTTGTTACTGATTCTTGGGGGTCTGGGCCCCAGAATTTGGGTGATATGCCTCATCTGAGGTCACGCTCCCCGTTAAGAAACATGTATGCAATCAGGATCCTCCTAGATCCAGTACTGACACAGAGAACCACATAAAAGATCTTTTGCCATATGTATGCAGCTTTTGCTGAAAATCTACCTAGAGAGCTGCTGTTGGCGACACATGTCCTGTTAACACCAAGATGTGATTATTGCAGTGGCCTTTTTGGCTCTTGAACATGGTCTGGAAACTGCTAACAACAGAGATGGGTGAGTGGTACTTCTTGAAGATGTCATATTTTGCCCCCCCTTCTGTATCCTTGCCTGACCTTTGCCTCTCTAGCCCATGACTCTCAACCTTCTAGAAATATCCTGCATCCTCCAAAGAATCCATGCTCTCTCTCCTGCTACTGGGTACGTCACAGCTGCCTCCCAGAGCACCTTCATGTTGCTATCTCTTGCTTACTTCCTTCAAATTCCACTTTTGCATATACACCCCATCCTCATTCCCTATTATAGGCATGGCTCCCTATCAGCCTAAGGGAGTTAGATGCCATCAACAGCAAGGCCATTCCCAAAACCCCCAGTCAAACTTCTCTGGGAGTCATAGAAATTCAGCCCATTCACTGACATCATCTGGCCTCCATGGGCTCCAAAGATAAGTTGGCTAGATCCGACCAATAGGCCAGAGATTTCCCATCCTAGTCTAGATGATAATATCTTCCAGTCCAAGCCTTTAATTCAACCTAAGGGCAGAATTTTAGGCAAGAGAGGAAGTTTGGAATGCTTGATGCAATCATATTCCATTCCTCACCTGCTCTGGTAGTCCAAGGACACACAGTAAATGCCAACTCCAGCGCACAGTATATACAGCTGATGGTGGAGAGGCAAGAGCTCCACATGCCAGACCTGATCAGGAAACCTGTAGACAGCCTAGGAAAAAGAGGAAGGAGGATCACAGAAAGCCTTCAGTAGCTCTCCATGTAAAAGAATGTATTAGGAGTCATCTTTGCAGCCCCTTTTCTGGTTTGTAGAGTCACATTAACCATCACAGGAAGACCAGGCACAGAAATACACACAGGGTATTTCTGGGAAAAAAGTGAAAACAGAAACAAGGGGAAAGTTGAAAATTTGTATCTCCAAAAGCTACAGCCATGGGTTCCAAAGGAGCATCTGCTATAGCACTACCTGTCTAAACCGCTGCAATGCACAGGGCTGCCTTTAATGGCCATCTGGGAGCTTCAGTCGGTACAAAAAGAAGCAGAGCAAATGCTCGCCAGCAGCCATCACTAGAGCCTGTAACCCCTGCACTGGCTGCTCATTGGCTTCTTGGTGCAAACTCAAGTGCAGATGTCAACTTACAAAGACCTTTACGCTTGGCAACAGGGTACCCCCAGAACCACAGCTCCCTCCTGAAACTGGCCTGCCCACTGTGTTTGCGTCAGGAGAAACAAGTAACTGCTCCATTTCTTCTCCGTAGGGTGGCCCAGGGGGCCGACACTCAGAGCTCTGGTTTTTCAGTGGTAGCAGCGGCCTTCTGATATAGCTCCCGCTTCAGGTTAGATCAGCTCCTACCCTGGCCACCTTCCAGAAGAAACTAAAGACCAAGCTTTTCTGGAGGGCACTGGGGTTGTGACACCTAGGGGAGTGGTAGTGTATTTTTTTGTTGGATTACTTGTTGTATTTCTCTCTTTTTGTATGGTGTGGTTTATTGTATTTGTAAGCTGTTGTAATGGCATATGGCAGTGTTTCTCAACATTGGTGACTTTAAGATGTGTAGAATTCTGGGAGGTGAAGTCCGTGCATCTCAAAGTCGTCAAGGTTGAGAAACACTGGTATATGGGAATGACATTGGGAAACAGGAGGGAGAGCCGCAGACTGGACAACCGGTGTGTAAAAGATGTCTCAGTTCACAGAAGGAGAGGAGGCACGGGAAGTGTTTCAGAAAGGACCCACCCTAATTTTCCAGAGAGTAAAAGGAGAGGAGGGGAGAAATACTTTCAGACTTTCAAGATTCTGTTAATATAACCTTACAATAAAGATAGAGCTAGCATTGTCATGCTTCTTGTCTTGAAGGACTAACAGCCACCAATGGACAAATCATCGTGGGATAGAAATCTACTCAACAAATCAAATAATAAATTCCTGCCCAGCTTGTGCCCATTCAGACACAGGATCCTCTGAGTATCATTCAAGACAGCCAGGCACATGTAGTCTGAAGCCATTTTCTGTATACTCTTTGATTTAAAAGAAGCTTCACTCTCAACTACAGCAAAGCTTGAAGTAACGCTTATTTGCTTTGTCTCTCTAGCTGAGGATGTACAGTTGTCACTGTTTTCTCCTATAGGCATACCTTGCAATAAGAGGACGGTGTTATCTTGCTATCATTCCTCCTTTTAAGCCATTAACAATTGCTGAGGTACTGTGCTGATGAACAAGTGGCATATTTTATCCAAGATGGGGCTTTCATTTCAGGAATGAGAGAACAAGCAGCAGCCAACACGTCTGTCTGCAGTCAAAGCTGCAACAGCATGCTGAGGATAGAGAACTGAGCACCATCTATGTGTGAGAAAGCCCTGCAAAGTCTGTATTTTCAACATAACATTTGATTTGGGAAATCATTCACCTATATGCATGTTAACCTATTTGTCACCTGTCTCTCTATGCGTGGAAAGTGTGGGAGGTTCAGCTGGTTATTGTCATCAAAAGGATAAATTAAAGTGATGCCTTTAATGCAGGGTTTCTGAACCTCAAGTTGAAGGTTCACACACCTTAGAGTTGCCGAGGTTCACAAAACCTGCTTTGACATGTGGTGAAGGTATGGTTTACATCTAGCAACCAGCACTGGAAAATCTATGGAATCTGGGGAAACTTATTTCATATACTGTATGTGTCAGTTGTGACAATACAGCAAACAGAAAATATATCCTTCATTTTATGGTTCAACAAGACTGCTCTGGAGGGAAGAGGCAGATTTGTGAAGGTCAAAGGTGGGAGTTTAAAAAGCGGGGGGGAAACCAAATCACCAGAGACTGATGTCAAGAACTGGATGCTACAGGTAGGTGAATTATGAAGAACAACCAATTCTATACCAAAGGTTGCTATTGTAAAAAGATACCACAAAAAGTCAGCAGAAAATCTAAATTAAGGATTTAGACAGTTAAGAACATCTCCACATATCACATATCCACCCTGCCTGTTCAATTTTATAGGAAAAAAAATTAATAACCCAAGGAGTTTTTTAAACATTAAGCTGTGGTTTCCAACAGACTTCTCTACTTATGTAAAAATACCAGACAAATGGGGGAGGAGGGAGAGCGGGAGGGAACTTGGGTGATCTTGTGTTCCAGTTATAGTAATGCAATGGGGAGGGAAGGAAACAAAGCATCAAACCAGGCCGAGTTAACCGTATAGCATCCATTTCACTTTGGTTCTGACTCTGAACTACTATGCCATTCTTGTTATTAAGCCCCCCCCCCCCAAAAAAAGCTATGGGTTTGCAATGCAGTCTATTCATCTGCTCTCTGCTCATACGGGAGACCCTTCTTATGAATAATAAGCAGAGTAGTTTAAAAAAAAAACAGATTAGAAGCTCAAGGGATTGATGAAGGAAAAACACAGTGCCCTCGTTTAAGCTACACTGTTTATCATGAAAGAGGAGTTTTACTTTTGTCATGAGCAGCAGAGGAACTAACTGTGCTGGCAAAGAGAAGACGGTGGATCTTCTTTGCTCTGATCCAGAACTATGAAAGACAGACTTCATTTTCTCTGCTGCCTGCTTTTCTCCTAAAAATTCACATGCTGGAAGACAACTTCCAGCACTCCTCTGCAAACCATTTCTGGTCCTCAGTAGTGACCAAGCAAATGGCAAACTGATGTGCTTTGAAAGCACCCTAAAAAGATGAACGATGAAAAAAATACTAGTCACAATCCAATCGCTGAATGGATCCCATTTAGGACAGGGATAAGTAAGCTGGTGTCCTACAGAAGTTTTGGACTCTTTAACTCCCATAATTTTAAGAGAGAGATTAGAGGATTTGTAGTCCAAACCATCTAGAGGGCACCAACCTCCCACTGAGCAGAAGGTACATTGTATGTGAGCACTGCTTTTCTTTATACAGTTTTTTCAGCTGCAGGATTTAGCTTTCAGTAACTACTTTGGACTAATTCTCCTAAATAAAGCCACCAAAGGCACTTCGCTACTTCTTCCTTTGAGCCTACTGAGGGGAAGGAGCAGAGAAAGTTCTATTAGGGATATATTATTTGTACGTGTTGCAGTGCTCCTCTGGTTTTTTTTAGTTCAAATGCTATATTTAGGATTAGTGACCTAAGGTAGATCTGTATAGAATTTGCTTCGTGGCCATGTATGAATATGTTTATTTTTACTGTTTATGGTGTTGAACAAAACTCACCATAAAATTACAAACCAGGAAACAGAGCTACCAAGGGAATGAATGCATCTCTTGAGATCAGTTTTTATCCTTCAAGTTGAACTCAACTAATAGTGACTTTGTGGAGACACCCATGTAGTCTTGCCAACAATATGGAATGGTTTGCCAATGCCTTCTTGCAGAACACGTTTTCAAGTTCCCAGTCTAGTCTACAGCCCTGAAATTCCCAGGGGGTCTCCCATCCAAATACTAACCAGGGATGACCCTACTTTGCTTCTGAGATCAATCAAGGTCAGCTTGATACAGCAACCTGCTGCAACACACGCAGGTGAGATTTAATCCATCCTGGCATCCTCCAGATGCGTTGACTACAATCCCCATCATATGCTAAGCAAAGAGCAGTGGAATTGTACTTCATTACATCTGGAAGCTGTCAGATTGGGGAAGGCAGCTTTAAGCTAATGCTGAAGGATGCAGCATGAACTGCACTGGTAATTATTTTCAGTGCTTAGACAATGCATTGTTTTGCACACTGATGGGAGATCTTAAACCAGGTTAATAGCGCTCTCTCTCTCTCTCTCTTTCTCCCTCCCCGTATATATGGAAGTGAGGACAACTATGATTCCATTTTTTTTAACATGCCAGTGTTTTCAAACTTTAAACATTATGCTACTGTCAAGATCTTTAAAGACTCTGCCTCCCCCAGCCACACCATCAACGTCAAACTGCCCTAAAATTGCCTCCTGGCATTTAACCTGATTTCCAGCATCTCCATCTCCCCACGGCCCCTGCCCCTGCCCGAAGAGGGCTTGGTGTTGGCTAGCAGGACCCAAGTGCCAGTCCAGACATACCTTCATCAGCCGCCCTTCTTGGTCGTAGACATAGACGTACTCGGTGCCATTGGAGAGGTAGATCTGGTTCTCGTGGCACAGCACGCGGGGCTTCCCGGCTGCCAATCCCCCGACCGGGCAGCAAAATCCCGCCAGGTAATCCACCCTGTGCCCCATCTGGGCCATGGCCGCCGGTGCCAGCCTGGAAAGGGGATCAGAGAGATGTGGGGGCAGAACGGGAGAGCCCTTCAGGTGCCCCCCCCGCCTTTTCTGCGAAAGCACGTGGGAACAGAGCAAGTCAGCTTGCGTGCAAGGGGCCGCCCCACCCTGGCCATGCTACCCCTGCCCCCGCGCCTCCGGTGGGAACGAAGAGCATAAGAAGCCACGAAGACCCGGAAGACCCCCACCCTTTCACAATAGACAAGGCAAGGCAAAACACTCCGATACGGTAAAAAGAGAACCCTCATAAATCGGAATCAGCGGAGCTAAGCGAGCAACTGGTCTCCCCCCGCGGTATCGGTCACCCCCCCGCCACAAAGCCGAAGGGGCGGAGCTGCCTTCTGACCCCGCCTCCTCCTCTCCAAGGCAGCGGTCGGAATGCCACCAGTTACTAAGCGCGAGGAGCGGCTCTGCTTTACGGCTTCCCCTGTCTGTCTGTCTCTCTCTCTCTCCGGGCTCGGCAGTCGACTGGAGCTGGCGGAAGCAGCGAGCTGCAGAGATGGGTTTACGACGCGCCGTAAAGTGAGGAAGGAGGGCGGGCTTGCTGTGCGCGGCTGGCCTCGCTGCTGGTGTGGCTCGCGGTTGCCATGGGGAGGGAGAGAGCGGCTCCATGCATGGGAGCGGCCTGCTAGGGAATAAAAGGGTGTCAGGGAACCCCAAGGGGAGGATGCTGGGCGATGGGGCTGGGCTAGAAAGATGGACGCGCGGAGCCCGTCCACGGCGGATGCGTGGTCTTGAAGGGGTATTTGAAGGGGGACAGCTTGGTAGAAGGCGTGCGTGGTTTCGACTGGTGGGAGGAGAAGGGGACACTGCAGGAGGAGTGGGCCCAAACACTCTTGGCTGGACTGGCGTTCTCCGGGTGTGCCGGGGGAAGTTCCTGGCCCATCTTGCCAGGGCTCAGAAGCCAAGCGGCGTCGGGTCTGGTCCCCACTTGGATGGGAGACCACCAGGAAATCAGAGGGCTAGACTGGGAAGTGAAAAATACATGTCCGTGGATGGCAAAGAAGCTGCGTGGGTGCATCAATGAAGCCACTAGGAATCAGCTCCACTCAAAGGTGTCTTTAATAGTGGAACTCTGGGAGCTGTTAGACTCAACACACCGAGGGCGCCTGGGTTTTGTGGGAAGCGTGGGCTGTGCAGCTACCCTGTGCTAATAGAAATCAGGAGCAGAGAAAAAGCAAGCACATCTGGATTCCAAGGCAAGCCCCAGTCACTCATGCCTGAAAGTGATTTATTTCCAAATGCTAAGCGTTATGTCGTGGCTCAGGTGCTGGACTTGGATCACAAGATTCAGGTACTGCTCCCCACTTAATCATGAGCTCACTGGCAGACTTTGAACTAGTTTCTCTAGCCTACCTTATAGGATTGTTGTGGGTATAAATTGATATAAATAAGTACAATCAGAAAAACTACTCCCCTCCCATCAAGTCAGCCACCTTTTGTCCCAGACTAAAAACTGGAATAGCAATATGATAAATAATAGTTGGTTGTGTGTCCAGCCAACCAAGGGTTCAGGTTGGCTAGGCACTGTGGAGAATACTATCTTTGACAAGATGTTGCTTTTTGTTGCTTCTACAGCTTTCTGTTCTACTAAAGCTCCTTAATAATTGTTCAGATCCAACCTCACATTTCAAAGCTAAAATGAGAAAGTGGCAATCGTGGCATTTGCATTTACAAGCAACAGTGACATGTACATGCTAGTGTAAAAAAAAGTAATGGTGCAGTTGAGCCAGTAGATGGCAGCGTTGCTTGCAATGATAGCTGTCTTTCCAAAATACGGTGTTGAGACTGGCAAAAACAAGGAAATATAATCAGATAGATTTTAGCTTAATTAAATTATTTGTTTCATCCTTCAGCCCAAATCCCAGCAACTGAAGTCAACATGATTTATTTCCTCTTATCTACTAACCACCATTTGCCTTTGATATGCCTGTTTTTTAATTTCATCAAGGTTAATTGCTGATTCACAAATTAAAGTTATTAATTTAAATCTACTCCCTAGAAAACTGCAAAGTGTAACAAATTTTGCAGGTTTGTAGATTTTTGATAGGGGCTTATACAACTGTGAAAATCAAAGATATAAGAACAAAGTTCAATTATGCTTGGAAAAAATACACACTTAAAATTCCAGATTCTGAAATGTCAGTCTCAAATGCTTAGCTTCTTTACACCAAAATATTTCTGGCAAAGCCAGTTAAATGCAATGTGTATGAATGAATCAACACAATTTGGTCTTCTGAAAGCTATAGCTTACAATATTTAGACCTTCATGGTTTTTGTCAAAAAGGCTGTATGTTCCTGTTAAGACACTGAATATAATTTACTAAATCCTGCTGAAAATTAAACCAGCTGTATAATTGGCAAGAGTGGGGAGAATGAATCACCTTGCAGAGTTTTTGGAATGTTGTTGACAAGTGTAGTGCAAAACAAAAAAGGAAAAACTCATGCAGCACTTTTCCGCACATCTTTCATGTCCAAAAGGTTAGAAATTCTACAGCAAAAGTTGATTTTGACAGTTTTTCCAGTAGCTTATTTGTGAGCTGATGGCCTGATTTTTTTTTAGGGGTTATGCCACCCATACTCTAGCTGCAATCTAGATTTCAATCCTTTTAGGAAACTCTGAATAGTACAGTCCTAAAGACACTAAAAGGTCAGCTCCATTGAGCACAGTGTGAATGTTGATGGATGTGTTAAATCTGTGTCTGTAGTGCTTGAAAAGGGAAGTCTGGAAACAATCAAACCATTAGGCTGATTAAAAAATGAACAGAGTGTTTTTCCATTGCTTAAACTCTAGAGCAGTGACTCTGAGAAGGCCTGGTAGCCAAGATACAGACCCTCAAGGCATATGTTCACCAGCCATACATAACATCAAGCCAGAAGAGTCTGTCAGCCCCCAGAAGAACCAGAAAGGTTACATAACATGCAATTGCTCCTAATCTGGTTCAAGATTATATTTAGGTACGTGGCAATAAGGCCTGACTTTTCCCATTGCCGAGAACCAGCTTTGGCCTGTAAAGCAACTGATGGAGAAGAATTCAGATCCTTTGTGCTTAAAATGCACTCAGCTTCTTCTTTTGTGACTTTTGAGTTGACTTGTGGGTTTTTAAAAGGGATCATTCAAGAAATAAGGGAAGCTCATTAGTAAATTATAGCCAGAGGAGCCAGTTGTCTTATTCAGTTTGCAGGGATTCATCTTCAGGAAACGAAGCTTCCCATCAAGATGCTTACATGGACTGAGTGTTTTAAATTATGTGGCTATCACTAGAGCACAGGATACACATTTTCTAAAGCAGTTTTGGGTACAGGATACAATAATTCAATTACTGTTGATTTTTCATCTAGCAGTCCTAGACCAATGAGCAATATAGTCTCTCCTAGTTAAATATACCAGCAAGCTGTACATATTCTCTGGTTGTTAGAGGAGATAGGGAGAGATTTTTCACATAACTAGTCCATGCACACACACACTCATCCACACAGATAAATTGGAATCTATGTACAGATTTAGCAGTTTTCTTAATGCTGTATCCATAAGCACATCTTTATTGACTGCCACCTTTAACAAACGGGAAACAGCTGTGCTTATTCATAAAGTATTTCTAGGGCCATACATTTGAATGCTTCAATGAGCACAACAGATAGCAGTGCAAATAGAAGGATGTATATATTAGCATATGGTGTGACATTCTGCATCTTCAAAAATCAATGCATTTCTACTTCCTAAAATGGATGGTGTAGATCGTAATATAGTCTACAATTGTGAAGAGTATTCATATGCAACGAATACTCTTCAGCATTTTGCTGGACTACCACAGTTATCATGTAGCTGTTACAATGTATGCAAATAGGCTGCAAGAACTTTGTAAAGCAGACAGACCATTCCTAAAATCTTTAAGAGCTGGAGAATGTGAGACAGACTGTGTACTGTATCTGCTTTTACAACCAGCCAGTGTGATTTCATCTTTCCACGAAATTAAGCTGTGCATGACTATTAAAAAAAACAGAATCACAGGGTCTTTCGAGTCACAGTCTGCTCTTAATGCAACATGTATTTGATAAAACCATGCTACCAAGGAACTGTTCCTTGGCATTTATTCCAATAATGTTTTGGGAATTGTGTGTGCAGACTATCAAGCCAAGGAAAGATTCCTATTTGATTCCTTTATCTGGGCCTTTCACACTTGAATCCTCCATAGGAAGCCTTTTAGGGGAAAAGAGGCAGACAGAGGGATGTGTTTGGTTTCCAAAACTGTAGTGAAGGTCCAAAACAGCCTGGAGCATTTATTGCATTCCCTCAGTCAAGGGCTCCGTGATCCGCCTCCCATTCCGGATCAGGACTCTGCGGCGTTTGGCTGGCAAGGGAGCAGCCTTTTTCTCTGCTTCTGGTTGGGCAGCCCAGATGGAAGGCTTAGCAGGAGATGGGTTCTGTCTTTTGTTCATCTCATCCACAAAAGATTCCACCCCCTCAAAGCGTTTAGTCAGTTCCCCAAGCTGTTCCTTGAGGGCATTGAATTCCTTGTATAGGTCATCCAGGGCATCAGAAAGAGGTTTGATCCTAAGAAAGACAACGGGCAAGAAGGGATACCGGTAAAAAAAGAGAAAAAAAGCCATAGTAATTTTCATCCAAAGTTCTACCAGTCATAATATTCTGGAAATGTTCAACCACAAAGCAAGATCTATGCTGCCAAACTTGATTGTGGCATCTAGGCAGCCATTTATTTACATAGATACGACTCAACTCCCTGCTAGGCTGGCAAGTTTGGAGGTGCTACTCCAAGTCACACCAGAAACTTATCCAGACTTCTACCTGGCCCCCAGCCCTCACCTTCCATAGTCAGGCAATACTGTTTGGTGATCATGGAGGAGAAGGTTCCTGATTTGAGTCACAATAGCAAATTTCCAATTGTCAAGGACCACAGTAAGATTGGAACATCTTCTCGTATTGACTTTATCAGCTGGAAGAGAAGAGAAGAGAAGACCAAACTGGAATGTGATGTAACAGAGAAGTAGCTGTGTAAAATCATCATCATCATCTAGAAAAAATAGGGAAAGATATAAACCTTCAAGCACAGATTGAGTGAATGAGGAAAAAGAAAGTACTAGTGGTTGAAAGATCTGGAAAAGCACTTGGAGACAATACGAATGGGCAGAATCAACACATCAGCTACAAAAAGTCACATTACTTGGAACAATGCCTATATTACAATGGTATCATTAGCTACCTAGATCTTTGGAAAGAATCTGATAGTTAACATACCAAATCCAGTCAGAACTATCTGGTAGATTGTGTGGTAATAATAACAGTTTTACTCCTCCTCCTCCTCCTCTTCCTGTATTGCCCTTTTGTTCCTAAAAGCTGTATGTGCCTGAGAAGTTAATGGTTTTACACCATTAACATGAAATGAGGATCTGGCAGGACAACAGCCAGAATTTCACATAGGTAAAAGTGCTCAAAAACTTCTGCAAAACACGGCAGCTCACCTTTCACACATGAGTTCAGGGTGGAGAGCAAGTTTAGGAGGAATAAAATTGCTTCAGCGTAACATCAAACATAAGCACCAAGAAAAGGGATCCTAATATTTGAAGGTTAGCTTGCATATTCAGGGTTGGAAAAAAGACCTGCCTTTCCTAACAGTTCATTTTAGGACCGATAGTATTGTTCCTAAAGTAAAATATGCTCGACTCCCTGAAAATATGTCCTGGCAGCTGCGCAAGGAGAAATAAGATGTATAGCTAAATTCAGATCCTCACCGGAGACTTAAAGCTGTGAAGAATCATACACTCAGAAGTTCAGAATTGTAAAAGAATTGTGAAAATTGGGGGGGGGGGGGGCGGAATTGGAATCTCATGTTAGCAGCCTTTAGGAAAAATGGGCTTTGGGGCATCCACTGTCAAAAGCAAGTGTGCCTTTTCCTTCGGGCATGATGGGCTGGAGGCCTGGAACCCACTAATCGAAGTTGTTCTCCCTTGCACAACTAGGGTTTCAAGGCCCTTAGCAAAGAGGGGCCCAGCCTGGCCAAGTGCCTCTCCACCCTGACTCACGATAAAGAAAACACACTTTCTGTGTTGTCCTGACACAGCAGCAGCTCACTTTCTGGAGAAGCCCATGCTCTTTGGGACACGTTACCTTCCGATCTGTAGCCCCATTCTGCGGTTGCCTCCCACTGCTTCGGTTTGGCTGCACAGCTGACGGCCACAAACAGCAGCAGCGAGAGAATCTGCTTCATGCTGCCTTGACAGTGGCGAGAGAAGGAACACCAAATCAAAAGAGCCTCTTTACAGTCTCTGCACAGAACTCAAAGCCTCATTCCTGTTCTGCGTCCAACTCCACCCCTTTCCCTTGATGGCTCCCACATGGTCACTCATCTAGTTGGACTGGTCACAAGTTTGTCATATCGGTGGGCAGAGGAAAAGGGGCCTCTCTGCTTCTGTAGCCATAGAAACATAACACTCACTGCATCCATTCACCAGTCAAAGCCCAGCTGGATGGAAATACTGTCCAGGGGTTTGAGGAAGTGATGCCCAACTTATGACTGTCCTCCCCATAGATTGGTCCCCATTTCCTCCATGTGCCTAAGTGGCTTTAAAGCCTTGGAACGCTGGAAGTTGGAAAGAAGTTGGCGTGGGTGGACAGGGGAGGGCAGAAGCTGTGGATCCAAGTAGGCAAACTGAGTGTTGCTCAGTCTTGCTACAGAGAAGGTCCTTATTGTTAGGATGGGGGTGGCTTAGTTATGTCTTAATTGGATTGGACCTGGTGTCAACCACCATGCGGTCATCTTCATTCCATTTGTTAGTTCAGCAGTAGAGAAGCATAATAAATACAGTTGCTCTCAAGGGTGACCCCTGTTATATTCTAACACACTAAGTATGAAGGGAAGGGGGAAGAAGAGATGAGATGCAGCTGGCTGAAATCTCTCAGGACTGGAAACATTCATTTCCGATTTCATTCTCCCTTCCGTTGTTTCCCATGATTTCAGGCTAACAGCCCGGGCCAATTGTAGCCAGAGTTACAGAGAGCGGCTACTGCAGCTCCTTGAAGGCACCTGTCACTTGGGGCCTGGGGGGCCTGTTTTCATTCCTGGCCCAACCCCAGCTCTTCTCTGCTCAGAACTGGCCCTCTTAGAGGCAAAGGATAGGATGCTTTTCTCCCATTGCACATACAGGGCTGACTTCAGATAGCCGAAACTAATGTCCAATTGCAGAAGGGCAGCTCCTCTGACTACGCCCAAGGGCAGCAGATTAAATTGGGGAGGCAAGCCAAGTAATGGGACTTAGTCTGACATATAGTAGTCACTGCTCTCCTTGCCACCTGAACCAACTGCCTAACATCCTATCATTTTAATTGGGAGGAATTGAACATCCATTGAGCCCTAAAAGGTAATGCTACAGTGCATGAATTAGATTGCAACTCCCACTTGCCAGTCAGCCTATGATCAAGACCTTCAAAAAATTATTTCTTTAAAGCATAATTAAATGGGGGGAAAAAAACTTTACCTGCTGAAATCCTCAGATGGCAAGACATAGCGGTCACTCTCAAGTCTAGCTTTCTTTTTTCAAACCAAGTTCTGCCTCTCTTCTTCGCTTTATAACATATTGTCCTGAAATTTTGCCAAGTCTTGCTGCACAAGTCTTCAAATTGCAAACAGATCCTTTTGGCCTACTATAGGAAACCCTCCAATGCCGTTTATACCTCTGAGGGAGTAGAGAAGCGAAGAGATTTGTGGGACAACTCCCCCAAATACTCAAAAGTACAGTTTAGGTCACGAGCACTTAGAGCAAAGGGGAAAGTTCTCCGTCCATTCGTGCTTTCTTTGATAAAGGAAGAGCAGCTCAGGAAAAGTTGTGCGGTCCAGCCCTGCTGCACACAATTAACACAGAAACCCTGTTTGCAAAGGCACAAAACTGCAATTTCCCAGCATGTGTTTTCTTGGGAAAAATGGATGGAAGTATGAGAATTATTAAAGGTAAAGAAGCTCTGACTTACCTCTTTTGAACTTTGTCTTTTGGAAATTAAAGAATTGTCCTAATATCTTTTTGGCATTGGCTTTGCTTCTCTCCCCCACTCTTGTTCTTAATGATATCCAGACAATGGGTTTTTTTTAAGTGAGAAAGGCACATTCAGTAGGGTTCACATCAGGTAGCCAGATGGGGACATGCGTCAGTCCCTTGTCAGTGCTTATGGGTCCAGATGGCACAATAGAGATAAGCAGAATGGAAATGGCTGGGAACACAAAATCTGTCTCCTGACTTACAGGGCAATGGTGGAGTTGGAAAAGGCCACTTCATCCATAGAGCCACAGCTCAACTCAGTGTCAGAATCCAAATGACAACATTTTCAACCAGATGGCTGTCTTGAATGTATCCCGTGAAGGGAAGCCCATCATTTCTCTGGCTAATTAGCTCCATTGTCTAACAGCACCAAATTCAATCAAAAGGTGCTTTTCCTGCAACCTCAGGCCATTCTTTGGCACCTGGAGTAACAGTAGACCTTGACCTTCTTAGTAGGGGTGTGCATGAAATTAAAAATATGCTTCATTCCACATGTGAAAGAAAACACATTATGCCTTAGAAGTTTGCCTGGATCACTCCAGGGAGGTCATGGTCCGGCTAAAGCAAAACCAAGTAGCAAATCGGGGAAATCTTAAGGACACTCTCATCAGACCTACTTTGCCTCTACAGTGACATACCTTTTTTTCTCCTACACTCTGCATCTACTTGCCATACCAGCCCTACTTCTCTGAAGCCATGTTACTGGTGGGCCTTCAATTTCTCCACTGTCTCCTACCCTGGAACATATCTGACAGAACCTATGTGGTACAGGTCCATGCAAAAGACATACATGCTTCAGGTCAGCTCACAGATTCTGCCTAATTGGTGCAAAGAATGCTCCATACATGGAAAGGTTTGCACATCCTTACTCTTCTGCATAACATCCTTTGACGTCTCAGAGCATGCTATCATACCCCCTTCCAGGATAAACATTGTTTCTTCAAACTCTCTTCATGGGACCTAATGTTTCTAGTTCTTGCTTTTCTCTGAAAATATTCCCATTTGTCTGAATTCTTCCCAAAAGTGATTTTCAGAACTTGACACAATATTCAAGGTGTGATCTGACTAACACAGAATAAAATGGAGCTAATTATTTCCCACGACTTGGAAATTATTCTGTTGATGCAGCCTAAAATTGCATTTGTCTTTCCTGCAGCCACACTGCAGCCTGAATATGGGTCAGCATTGTAAGTCAACCATTTCAAGATTTTTTTCCCCCAGAGGTCTGTTACCAAGGTAGCTTCCCCTATCCTATACCCATACATTTGACCGTTTTTTCCCTAAGTGGAGAAGTTTGCATTTGTCTCTTAAATTGTTGTATTCAGCCATTTCTATAACCCATCAAAATCATTTTGAATGTTATTTCTATCTTCTAAGATATTCATATCTTAACAATGTTGTGTTACCTCCTCCATCAGTTAATCCAAGTCATTACCCTAGAATCATAGAATTGTGGAGTTTGAAGGGACCACAAGGCTCGTCTAGTCCAACCCCCTGCAATATGTAGGAAAACCAATTACAGCTGCTTAAAGTGGTGGCAGTCAAGCCTCTTAAAAATCTCCAGAGATGGAGAACCCGCAACCTCCGTAGGACTGTTCCTCTGTTATATGCATCTTGCAATAAAGATTTTTATTCCTTATATTTAAGTACAATCTACTTGTACCCATTATTTCTAGTCCTAGTTTTTGTAGCAGTAGAAAATAGTTCCTGACCATTTTCCCTATGGCAATCTTCTTATGTACCTGAACACCCATATTATGTCTGCTTTTGGTCCTTTCTTCTCCCAACTCTTTCATGCTTCTAAAGTAGCACAGAAGTGTGTTAGCCCTTCTAGCAGCTGTCTTACATTATTGGCTCAGGTTTAGCCATTTGTGGACAATGGTTACACCCATTAACATGTAGAAGCATTACGCAGCAACCCCACCCAATACACACATCCATATAAAACCTGTATTCTTTACTTGCCAGAGTGCTAACAAGATGGATCCCAATTTTTTCTTTGAGATTAGAACTGAAACAATAATTGGCTGCCCACATACACAGCAAGCATTTTAGAAAGTAGATGTTGTTAGGATTTAAGTGGATCACCACGACATAAATGTCCTGCATCAGAACAATATCTGAATGGTGGCCAAGAGAAACGTTTGGTGCCCAGGAGCTGCATAAATTCAAAATGGTTAGGGGAGTAAAGTGGAGAAAGCAACAAAAGGACCAGAAGCCATCATTTTGGATGCTTTTAATAGATTTTTATTTGCAGGGCTGTTATTCAGTTAAGTTCAGTCCAAACCAATCACACACCTCTGCAACCCAAAGAACCAAGAGGAACAGCAAGAGCGGCTACAGCCCATTGAGCTTGAGAAATCTAGTCAAAACGCAAACCCAGGAAACAAAAATCACACATCCTGCCAGCCGTAACTAGGGCCAGAGAAAGTGTTTTTGAACACTTGACTGAGCCCCAGCTACAACTGCCTTGAAAGGCAAAGACCACATCCCTCGCAGCAGTTGTTTGGAGCCCAGTCCTACATGCCCATAATGAAAATGGGAGCTGGGACGGAGGCACATTTTGTGGTGGTGGTGAATACCTAAAAACTGTGGAAGGACAGAAACAGGAGGCCCTGTCCACAGAACCAGAGAGGTGAGGTGAAGGCCTCTTTCCCCCTAAGGTTGAGGGATCTGCCAGGGCAATTATAGGCTTGTTGTGCAGAATACTACTACAAGGGGAATCAAATGTGCCTTAACATAAAACAATCCTAGCAGAGATACCAGGAATTCTGGATAATGAAAAAACATCTTTGGATACCTTTGAATGGAGGAGCCCAGGTATCAGAAGAAATAAGGAACAGGAGGCACAGCTAAGATAGGATTATTTGAACAGTAGGCAGGGTTGTATTCTAGAGGCAAGGTCATTTCTACTGCAATATGCTTGGATTTCAGTGAGGTAAGACAAAGCTCCAATTCCAATATATGCCCCATTTAACTTTGTTGTGGTGATCATGTATAGTCGTTAATAGACATGAATAAAATGCCTAGACATTTTGTCTGCTCATAGCTACAGATCCCAGGAAATTGCTTTAAATATAAAGGGAAAATAGTGTATGGAGACTTGGGAAAAGTAGCTGCTTGTGAACTGTTGCCTTCCCAGTCCTGACACAGCTGGAATGAAGCTGCCGTAAGGTTCCAAATCAGGAAGCAAGAGTATATGCTTCCCATGGCCAGACTTGGATGAGAACCATCTTGTCTCTGGCCTAGCCGCAGATGAGGAGCTCAGGGAATTGCTTTAATCTGCTGCCGTTCTAGCTGAGTAGGACAAGAAATGTATGAAGAGGCAACCAGGGTCATCCCTGCCTGGTTGAGAAAGATGTTCTCTCTCCTCTCCAGCACCAAGGTTTAGCCTGGGGCTCTAAAGCCACAGCATGTCCTGCTACTGCAGGTCACTCAATTTGGAAGCTGTGATGAGAGAGTGGACCGATCTGACTCAGGCACCAGTGACCCAGAAACTCTGGGGCTAAATGCAAAGCATGTCAAGAGAACAACATTACACAAGCTAGCCCTGGGAGACCAAGTCATCCCTTCAACACTACTGCCTAGCCTCATTGACTAGCTTAAGGCGGGGAAAGCTTGTGGCATGCAAGCTAACAGGGGGACATGGCCACGCTGCCATGAGCCCACAGAGCCAATGAGCCACCTGTGCAACTGCAGCTCAAGGGAAGCAGGACCTCTGGCTTTCTACAATACTGAGAGCAAAGAAAAGACAAGGCAGCACAGTGGGGCCATCTTATTTTCTCCCACTGGGACATCCTGTTCCAACTGCAAGCTGCCACCCTGTAAATGGCACTGAATACCTGTGATATGGGTCATTCCCCCCCTTTCCTGTTCTGCCCCGCCCCACACAGCGCATCATCCCAGGAGGAAGAACAGCCCTGCCTGGCTAAAGGTTTGCCTCTGTATTTCTGCCAGTTGGTCTGTAACAGCCGCCCCGAATGCCAAGCCAAACAGGGCCTAGCTACGTGGGAGGCTACACATCTCACAATGATCTGTGCCTGGCTGGTTCATGAAGGTGCAGTGCTGACAGGCCCACATTGAGGATGTTGTTGCATGTGTTGAACTGCCCATGGCACCATATTCTTGGAGTCCTGGCAACTGAATGCCAACTGTGCCTGAAAAAGTGAAATAGAGTAATTAGGAGGTGAAAAAGGCTCCAATAAGCAGGAATGTTTTTGTCTGGAAACTTTACAGACATGATCAATTTCTACAGTAAATGCGTAAACTTCCCTACAGAACATTCCCATTCCTTGGCTCAACGTTGCCTAATTCCTTCCACAGATTTCTACAACTGTATCATCTAAAAACACCTTCCTTTCTTCCCTGCATTAATTAAATCACTGCTAAACAACTACTTGGCTAAAAGAACATTTCACAAATGTATAAGGTTTTGTTTGCTCCTTTTATACTAAGCTGATCCCCAAGTGATCAAGGCAGTTTCAAATCCAAACCCCAACACTAGGCAATTTAATGTAGGTAAACAAAAGCTGTCCAGCATCTTTGTAATGAGGTGACTCAGAAAGAGAAAAGATGTTAGACATACTGCAAAGCTGCTCAATGGTAGCCCACTGTTCAGATTTTTTCCAGGTCTGAGCAAGATCTTCATTCCGGGTCCTTACTGCCTCCAGCAACAAGCTGATGCTGTCCTAAAAGACGAAATAAACCACATCATAATCCTACTTACGTTTCAAATATATGATGTAGCAGACAATATTCCACTAGCTGTAACTGTTAATAATATAATTAACCATTTAACTACACTAAGATAATTTTTGTCAGATGATTTATAATCTCCTAATTAGGTTGCACTCTACCTCCTCTCTCACTTTCGGGATGTCTAAAAGCATGGAGCAGCAGTAGAAATACGTTTTGCTTCCCAACTCCTAAGAATGCCGTAATACCATTTCAGGTATCCTATTT